ATGTATTTAATTATTACGAATCGATTCGTTTGATGATTGAATATACATAGCCATTTTAGTTAGTCATTATATATGTCACATAGAATTTTCTTTATAAGTATTAAAGTTACATGTATGTATACATGTAAAAATTTCTTATCAATGATTCTTTACAGTTTTTAGTATTGAATTCTAAAACTTTCCCAAACCGTTTTCATTGCACGTCTTTTTTAAAGCCGAAAGGTTTCTAAAAAAAATTTGAACCAGAAAGTATTTCACTAAATACAGTACCTTTAGAAAGGTTTGAAAAGCAATCAAGTGGTGAACTATATTGTTAAGTTACGTGCCTAATATTTGAACAACATAACTTAAAACATACAAGTTTTTTTATTCGGCTTTGAGCCACTTTTTATTTTTTATTAGGGCAGTGATACAGTACTATTATCTGAACTAAATAAAGTGGAGTAAGGTTCGTAACTATGATCTACCAATGGTGATATGTGTTTTAATCGATAAATGACCGTTTCGTATTCAATAATTTAATATAATAAACTCTATTACGTTAAAAAATATCGACATCAAACAAATAAATGTTGTGAATTTTCTTGTTCTCAATCCCTCACTTGACGGATTGGGTTATGAAAATGGACTATACTATTATTTATTGCTTAATAACGTATTCATCAAACGTCTTTAGAAATTTATTATACTTTTTTATATCAAATTCTGACACTTATTGAGTATACTCAAATTCGTAATTTAAAACAACTCTCATATGAAATTTGTTTACACATACATTCAGAACTTATAGATAACTTCAAATTTTTATGCGTAATACATGAAATCATTTTGGTCTTCATCTCAGTTAATCTTACGTGAATAAAAACGTATTTCATTAATAATGAGGTCAATTCGACCCATTGAATGTAGTTAAAACTTGGACTTCACGTGTCAGTACAGGAAAATATTACACAATTATATTCTAGACTATTTATATGACTTGTAACTATAATATTTATTGTAGAAAGGAAATAAATTAGGATAGATAAATACTCTGTTTATCGTTAACATCAGAAATATTCACTTTGTTTTCATAATTGAAGATTCACTTTTTCAAACACTTCGGAATTATAGAAAAAATAGTGTGTTATAAAATATATAGAACAAGGTTTGCTCCTTTTAGGATCGTTTTATGTGCCTAGATTTTCATATACACTGTTTAGAACTCCTCAAATCTTTACACTTTTGTATAACTTAGATGGGTATATTTACTTACTGGATGTCTGTCTTTTCTCACTAAGAGTCAAGCTTGTTTAGCCAACGTAATCAAACGTTTCCAACCATTAATGTCTTATCGAACGATTTGATATGGTTGAAATACTACTAGGTTCAGAGGTAGAGAAAAAAGTATGAACATTGGTGAAGGTAATAACGTTTTATTTAAAAATACTACTTGGACAAACTATCAAATAAGATCTAGTAGTTATCGTTAGATCTGGTATAAATTGAAACAATGATTTACATCGCATACAACTCTCCTCTCTGACCCCAACCATCCATTCATTATTTATAAGTCATTATGGTAACATGCAAACCACTCAAAAATATCGAATAGCAATAGGTTCTAAATTTGACCAGCAAGTCATTAAAAAAGGGTTTGGATTTCAAAGTTTCAAAAAACCAATATATATTGAAAAATTGACATTGATTACGTTGATTTTGACAACTGTTAAGTTATTTGAGAAAAGAGTGTATAGCTCAGCTCTTTAATGTCTCTACTTTGATAATGCAGTGCACACGCTTTCGTCAAGATCACTCAATGAATCTAAGCCCACAAAATCAAGTAAACATTCTGACACTAGCCAATAAAAAATATAAAAATGAAGTCTCCTCTGATAACTCATTTGTGTATATTCAGAACTATAAACCTGAAGTAAAATTCAGTTACCTACCCAGGTATGCTTAAAAAGAATTATAAAATCAAACTTCTAAAGGAAAGTCATCACCGGTTATTATATATTAAACAAATGAAATCTTTAAAATTAATAAAATAAATTTATCATCCATCTATAAGAATAAAGTTGTTACGTTTAAAAGAGGTGAACTTCTAAAATAAATACATGGCACAGTAAATATACTGGACAACTTAGATTAACCAGTACTTCAGTATTATTTGAAAATCAGTCAACTGAGAGAAGTTTAGTTCGTTACTAATTTTCAAGTAGTTTCTATGGAGACAATGACTAGACGTTTTGATTGAAAGTAACCAACCGAAAACCCTGGATTTAGCGCTAGAAGGAGGTCCGTCACGGCTTTAGTAAACCACTGGTAACAATTTAGATCTTGAATCTTAGTGTTATTGTGGTGTGTGCCACTGATGAGTAGTATGTATCATCAACCGAAAGTGAAATGCCTGGATGCAGAACGTTAAGAAGATCAAAGAAAAGAGAACGAGAACAAAAATGATTGATATGGAAACGAAGGAACAATGAATTCTGAGAAGATTGATTGTAATTTTGTGTTCATATACATTCGAAAGTCCCCACTTGTGTTCTCGTTCATTACATTATGAGTTCAAACTCTGCAGAGAGAATCGACTCTCTCAAGATCTCGGGTTCTCCATGCTGAAGAGTGTCAACCAGCGTCAAACCTAGACTTATTGTTTCTTATCGACTATCTTCAATCATCTAACATACCATCATGGACCATGCATTGTCAAGTTAGTTAGGCTACTGGTCACAATTCAATATGACTGATGGAACTTGGTCGTCACTAAAAGACTAGATAAGCATGTTACTAATCACTACTCAGTGATCAATCCAGTGGTGCAAAATGATCAAACATATAATTAGCGATGAACGTACCGTCAGGTATTAATTTTTTTTAAAATAATTAAGGAACGGTATAAAGATACCGGAGTCTAAATATTTTACTCTGACAAGAACCACAGTAAAACATTCAAAAATTATAAACTCAAATAATGTATTGACATTCAAAATAAGATACACTTTTTGACCATATTATTTTGTTTTATAGAAATGAAAAAATTTCTCATCGGTACTATGAAATGTTGATTTACAGCTAACAGTTCTGAAGTAATAACACTATTATCATAGATATCTGTATACATTTATTTCCATGAATACATAATAGAACTAATAAGAAAAATGACGATTTTTCACTTTCGTGATTTATTATTTCCTGTAAGATTTCAGTTGTGAAAAGTACAGTGGAAATTGTTTTTTTATTCTTTCTCACCAACCCTTTCAATTGTCATTTTTAAAAACCGAAAGTACTATTTCTAGCTCTAGTGAAATCTTAACAGGCTTATAAAATTTTTACGGATTATGTAAAAACAAAAATTATTCACGCACATCTTTTACAATGTGGTAGTTCAAGACAAATACATTATAAATGAAATTTATGGTCGATGTATATACATTCATAAACATTTACAACATACTTTATATTCACGCAATGAAACGTACAAATAAATCTATTTCTGATCTAAATATTTAAATTTAAGTTATTGAAATGTGTTCCTAAATGTTACCGTAGATACAATGTATCACATGGGTAGTTGATTTTATCATTGGTAGCCAAAATTTGTTATACCGTAAAATAAATGAAATGTTTTCTGACTTGTATGATTATTATCTATAGTAATCATAATAGACGATAATTTAGGAGAAAAAAAGATTTCTTAAAAACCATACAAATTTTATATAAGAATGACCAGGATTTCTTAAAGTAGTTGAATAGGATTCACAAGATGTTGAACAGATAATATAAGTGATGAAATGTATGGATGGCTGTGAACTATGTAATTAAAAATAATGCAGATTTCTTTAATGGAAATATTTAGAGCAGATTAGTTTAAAATTAGAGATGGTTATTTCTTAAGTTTAAGTTAAAATCATTTGACTGGTTAAGAATAACTTCAATTTGTTCAATCTTAAGAAATATTGACATATTTATAGTAAATGTCTACATTTTAATATACATGTAAGCTAGATAGATAAAAAAAGATAAAATATTTGTTTACTAAATCAGCTTTTGATGAGTCCTTTTATTAAAATCTGAATAAACCTTGTATAAATTATGTTTATTTTGACATCATTTTATCCCGTCTTGGATTATTCTTGACTTTATCTTGACATCCTAACGTAAACACTGATCAGTGTTTACATTAATTATGAAAACCGGCATCATGATTCACCTTTTTCACGTGTGTACTGATAGTCCAATAAGATGTGAATTAAAAGTTCTTTAAAGTCATTTATAACTAGCTAGATTAATTAAACTTTTTAACCGTCGGTAACTTAAGTCATCTAATATTTATTTTTTTGCACATTAGTATCATCAACTGTTTTTCTTATATTAAATACTGTATGGATATTATTTTCAAACATCTTCCTTACTTTCAGTAATAAATACCACATGAACAAATTAAAGCCATAGGGGATGATTACTATTAAATCGAGTAATGATAAAAAAATAAACCATTATGACATGCTTACTTTTATTGAAGCATACAGAGCGACAGTGAGAACTTCATAATGATATGACCCGTCTCTTTTAACCAAATAAGTTTTAAAGTCTTGTTAATATCCTGTAACAATTTCAGAGTACATTTTAGTTAATTACAAGTTGTGATAGAATATATTTAATGTGGCAGAAGCCGTAGAACGATTTATTTTAAGATTGGTCATATGAGGATGTTGACCTCTTAAAGCATTATTCATTGTTTTAAAAATCAATAGAGGTTGCATAACTCTTCTTTAATTACACAGTTTTATAATAAGGAAATCTTAGATGTTTAAATATTAATACAAAATAACGGATATAACTTTCTGATAGGTGATAAGCAGGATTGAATTTGTTTTACACAATCCACACTAAGAAATAGAAAGTACCACGTAGATATGTTACAAAAATTATTTTTTTTAATAGTCATGATAAATATCGTCAACATTAAAATAAAAATTTTCAGATTATCAACTAAAATATAGTTATCTTACTTTTTAAACATATGGACTGTAGTCAATTTCTCATCACTTTCCCTCAGGAATATTGAAAGTAGATGATTTTAATAATCAACTCTTCAAAAAGAAGGAAGATTTCACACATATATACATAAACCACATATTGTGTTGTGAATAAATTCTCCCATGTATACACAAATAACTAAAAAGGTATTCATATTAACCAATTAACATAGACCCTTGTTGAAAGTATAGGTGACTATTTTATACCTAACCTATAATAAATGATTATACATCTATATATATTCCTATACATACATTTTCAAAGATCAAAATTTTCGACTGTTTGTGTGTACAGGTATACAAGTAAACATAGGTAAACACACGCTAACAAATAATATAAAAGGCAAATCAAGTTTCTTTTATCAATCTCAATTGTATACCTCAATAATCCAACCAAAACAACAGTCACATAAAACAATATCATCATTAAACTGTTCATCACATCAAACTATAAAAATTCTTAACGAGTTTAATAATCAGTATTCCTTTTCAAACAAAAAAAGGTGAAAATAAAACAAAAAATGAATGTATGTTATATTTAGGTGTTTATATATGTGAGTTACTAAGCCAAATTGTACCTTATTTCAGGGTACTCTATGATAAATAAATAAACAAATAACAAAAATGTATCATTCAAGATTTAATAACAAATTTCTCCTTTAAATTAAAAAAGTAATTAGGAAAATTTAATTTTAAAAAAATATTTTTTTTCGAAAAAAAGCATAGAATGATAACTTTATTGAGTGAATTGCTTAGTTACAGTTTACCTCTTTATTATTATTTTTTTCTCTATCCCCTTATTTCTTTGGTGTTTGTTATTGTTTTTCACTATTTTTTCTAAAAAAAGAAAACGTGTTTACAAATTTAAAAAAAAATTTTCTCATTAGATAAAAGAACAGAACGTATATGCTTGTAAATAAGTCTATTCTATTGAGTACATTGACCATTAAAAAGTAATATAGCTATGTATGATATTAAAATAATTCTTTAAATGACTTTTCTATTTTAGACATTAGCTAACAAACAAACAAAAATTATATCTTCTCTTTATAAATATGTACTTTTGTAGGTAATTAGTGATTGTATTTAAATGTTCACATATATTTAAATGAGATTTAAACAACTGAATAAATTTAATAGTATTAAGACTATGTACTTGAAAAGTGAATATACTATGTCCAATTCTCTTCGATCTACCTGATGCTAAGGTTATTTAATAAGTCAAAATAAAGAAATGAAATTATGTAATTTATATAGTGCACGCAGTGTCGAGTCAACTAGACTGGTGGCCACATTGTAACATGGTCGATAGCATTCGATCTGCACTAAATAAGGACTTGACACATATGACATTGATAACCACCCAGTGATCAATCAATTATGATTACATCTCAGTCCTACATGTGGTCAGTCGCGGCCCGGATAGCTCAGTGGTAACGTTTCTGACTGTGAAGCTGAGTGACACCGATCGAATCAGCTAGGGAGTACCAGTTCCCTCAAGACTACAGGTACACCTTGCTGACGAGTGCCAAGTAGCACGAAACCAGGGTTCCTGTCGACTGCCTCCGACCACCATCTAATCTCAATATATATGTATTAAAAGTCTTTTTGAATACATCAATTAACAACCTATCTTGAAATGATTATTTTAGTATTTACCAGTATACTTCAGTTCCAAAGAATAATGAATATTTGAACACTGACCAAACCTGTTTGTGTATGGACACTAAATTTTTGTTTGAAATCCTTGTCAGAGTCCTATTCAAATTACTAAGCCATAACACTGTTTATAATAATATTTAATCGCATTCAATGAATTTAAATAGTTATATTCTGTTGATTGTATAATTACTTTTATCTTGGTAAATTACTATGACAAAATAAACCTTAATTTCGGTTTCTCATTGTCATTGCTAAACTTACCTGCTCTATGTGTTTAGTAGGTTACCAATGTTGATCCTTTACTAATAAACAAAAATCTTAAAGAACATCATTTTTATATTTTAGTTATTGCACTAAATTCACTTTAATACCAATATTCAAATAAGTAACAGAATAATACATCAACACTTTAAGTGACTTCTGTGAAATAAATTTCCATTTAAATGTATATTGCGGATATGTGGCAGTGATTTATTTAAGTGCAAAGTATTTATTTCAACTTTATTACTTCAACTCACTAGTAACAATAGTGATCAACAAATTGAGATTCTGTTTTGATTGCGGTTGCAGTAGATAATATACAAAAAATGAGGAAACTTCCTCAGATATCATCATTTTACTGACAACAGATACTTAATGGAAATCCATAGACAATGGAGGCAAAATGACACAACAACAAATATTAACCAGGATCTATTAATGAAACAATCATCTAGAGTATTTCCCTCATTATGTTTACCAACAATTTCACATAGTCAACAGTTATCTAAAGTTAGCCAACAAGTCATTTTTACTTTGAAACATTTAATACCATCTGAAACAGATTGTTTTACTCTATATAAGTAATTATATCTGTAAAAGGAGGTCAGTTTTCTAAAACAAGTGTGCTTAGTGAACACATTGCAAAATTGTCAATCCTACAAACATTGACAAATTGAAAAGTAACTCTTCCTTTGAATGTAACCGACCGCAGAAATGGTAAAATTCAGAATTATTAGAAATACCTTTATTCATTTTACATGTTTGAATAATTTTGAAAATCATATTTTAAGTAATCAATCTTCATTAATTTTTAGTTTCGTAAAAAGCGCTAGATTTCTTGACTGAATATACACCTATTACTGATTTTCATTTTAGATAAAAAGCGAATGTCTGATATAAAACTTTATTTATATAAAAGACGGATAGTGGGTAACAGTGAAATCCAGGACGCGCGTTTCGTTCTGTATGGGACTTATCAGCTGGATATACCTGTATCTCATAGTTGATGTTCACTTTGAGACAAGGCATTATCCAGTCAATACGCACAGTATGTATATATGCCAATAAAAAAACTGATCAATTGCAGTCCTAAACATCGATGTGAAGATTCAAGTAAATAATACTAAGTGAATTTATTTCTAGAAGTTTATAATACATGTATAAGTGTGAAATACAAAATCCTAATTATTTGATATAATGATTATATTGTACTTTTATTCTAACTGAATAATTATACATAAATTAGCCTAGAAATAAATATTCAGTAGTATTATACTACTATCATTTTTTTTTAATATAAATTATTTATATCCTGTCATTTTTATAACATAAAACGGACTGGAAATTTACGATCATACACATTAAGTTCTAATGTTATTATCTGGAATATAAATTTGCTATTTATTATGATTTTTATTATATACATGTGCGTATGTAGATATCATTTCTTTTTCTTTACATTATTTATCTCTAGTAACAAGATTATTGTGACTTTTATAAGTAATCATTATTAGTGCGATCATAGTTAGTAATAATAATAATACTATTATTATTGTTATTTCTACTTCTTTGACTATTACTGTTTCAATGATATTGACTTAATTATTTGTCTACTGTACAGTGTGTGGTATTTACATTCTATTATTGTATTTTCGACTTATTTCCTCCTCAAATAAAGGATATGAATAAAATTGGAAAAAAAATTTACTAACGGAAATTACATATCCACTTATGTGTAATGTTTTTTCCTGTTCTGTTTTATTTATGTTTTGTTAAACATTAAATACAGCAGAATACAATGTATATGTATATAGATATATATCTGATTTCTCGAAAGATATAAAATCCAAAAGACCACAAACACTGTTTTATGTGGTCAGGTAATTTATTTTATGTCATTTAGAATCGTGAGCCAGGTGATAGGGTTAATAGGGATTAAGCATCAAGCTGAATAAGAATTCAATAAAATGAATGGCCAAAAAAAATCAATTTATTCTGCCGTTACAAAGATTTTGGTGCAATTTGAAGAATTGTTTAATGGTTTGAAAAAAAAAACGAGAAAACAGTCCCAAGCCACTTCTTAGACCATGGGAAAATTCAAATCACTTGTATTATTTATACTGTAAAAGTATTCAGTCAGTCTTCGGATATGAAACTTTAGCGAATTTCACATAGTCATCATATCTTCGATAGTTTACGCTGTACCTTCTATAAAAATGTTAACTAACCATACTATTATACATTGATAATTTTTGACATCGTCTGATATGCAACAAAGAACTAAAAGTTGTAAGAAGTAAGAATGATTATTTCGATAAGTTCTAGAAAAGTGACATTTTTTAAAATTTTTGTAACATATCAAAGTTCATTTTCACAGCCTATGTATAGTTTTATGCAAGCTGAATCGAAATGTGTACTAACTTGATAGACTTCCAGTTATTCTATTAACTTTAAATTAACGTTTTAGTAAATACTTAAGAAACGACTAATATACCCTATTTTAATGACAATTTTTGAGGAATACTTGTTTACCTGGTGTTCTTGTGTTTTACTATTACATGAATGTTTTCATAGCAGAGTTACAGCAAGAAGATGAAATCACATTCTATAGATAAAATTTGAACACATCCCTTACTTAAGTTAAACGAAAATGACTATTTTTGGTATGACAATCTATTTTTTGAGTTAATAACATACATCAGGTTGAGATTATTACGGAAAGATGTGTTCCTAAGTAAATGAATAAACATTTTACTAAGGTAATAGTAATAAAATTTTAATGCATGTTTGTGTTTGACATTCATATGACAAAAGAGTAATCTTTGTCTGTTAGAGGTGTTTCTTTGAAACATTAAATCATTAGACATATGTAATTGAATAGTCATCATAGACTGGTTGAAAATCTATGAGTGTGACATAATTTTACTGTATGAAATTGAACTTTGATTAGATTTATGAACTGTAGTAAATATGGAATGGACTGTCATGTTCGAACATATTGAAAGACAATTTTTATTTCTGGATAATATCACATATAGAACTGATGAAAATCGTAAACTTTAAGTTATCTGTTTCGATTTAAGTTTATGTCTCGTATATAGTTTGCACTCACTCAGTTTACTGACAAGGTATTCTAAATAAAAACATCTTATTTATATTGGCTAGGATTGTACTGTTTATAGAGTGATTTGGAG